CTGCAGAGCATTTCTAAACTTAGCATCCGAATTGTTTAGTTAATATTTTGTTGATCTCTCATACATTTTTCAAGTGCTGCGAGAAAGAAGTAAGGACTCCCGACTTCAACAAAAGCATCAAAAACGAGATAGAATTTAGCTGTTGCGTAATTCCATACACAAGGCACACAATTCACCATCTATATGCCTGATTAAAACTCTCCACACTTTTCTCCAGCAAGCATATATGTATCAACACAAATCTTACATTACTCTTGTGTCGAAATTCCTTTTTGCCATGCCACAAGATTTTCACGAAAATTGAAAAAAAGAAGAAGATTCTTCATCTCTACGATTTTTCATTCAACAAAAACTGTTTATACCTAATGTTTATATCAAACAAGTGTCCAAACTGTGTATTGTAATTGCCTATCACTGACGCCAGGCACCAGGGTACTTTTTTCAATTTCCGTAAGGCTTAGCGCGGGCCACAACGGGCCATGCGCCCCTTGTCTATTGCAATTGCCGATCACCGACGCCACACGAGGCGTCAGGGTACTTTCCTTCCATTGGAACATCTCCGCGACGGCACGACGGGCCATGTGCAGCGTGCATCTTCGCCTGTCCATCACAAAGAGTTTCACGTTGATTTGATCGATAGCGGTAAAATCGCCATGCGCCACGTAACGACCGCCGGCGCCGGCGTCGGCCGCAACGGCCCGCTATGGCACCTGCGCGGGGCGGAAGCGGGGGCGGCGGCGAGGCGCGGCGGGGGCTGCCGGGCGGAAGCGGCGGGGGCGGGGGCGGGGGCGGAGGCGGCGCGGGGCGGTGGGCGGCGGGGGCGGTGGCGGTGGCGCCGGGGACTTGCAGTGAATCACCTGGCGCCGGTGAGTCCACGCGGTTTTAACGATGAGGCCCCACGTCTTTTACACAGAAGCGCCAACACAGCGCGCAACGTTAGTGCGTTAACGTCTGGAGAGTGGGGAGATAGAAAAGCGCCATATTTAATTTCAGTTAGTACATTTCCATTGTTCATGAATCGGATATCCTATTAACGGAATGCCTTTCATTATAGCCGACGGAATTTTATTATATGGAAAACAAAATTCCACACATATTTGTTTTTAAAATAACATGAAAAGGAAGAAGGCGTAGGTATTGTCTATCAGTCATAAAATAACTACTTTGTTTAAGAGACGTGAAAAGTAATAACATAATTTTTCAGTTTTCTGCGCCCTTTTCACATTTTCTCACTTGCTAGCATTTCAAAACACTATTTGATAATATATTGTAATCACAGTAAGTTGGACTAAGGTCCTACTTCTCCCTTAGCGGAAGAACCGAATCAAAGAAAAACACGCGCTCACACAACAGAGACAGCAATACCGCCACTTAAATCAGAAAGCACGGAAAGGCCATTAGGGAGACGCTGAAAATCTACTTGGCTGCAGTCGTGTCCGGAGCGCTTCGAAAGACGCGTGAAACCCTTTCGTATAGCATACCGGCTCGCCCATCGCGTCGGTTTCACGAGCGGAGGAAGTGTCGGCGGGCGTGGCGGCGCCCGCGGGGGCAGCATGTGCCCGTGTAAAAAGAACCGTAAACGTGGCGAACGAACGCGGGTGTAACGGCCGCGGAGACAAAGGAGCGTAGCGGCGGCGGTGGAGGCGGCGGTGGCGCCAGGCAGCGCCGCGCGACGCAGCCGGCAGGAAGCCCTCGCCCGCGGGGCCGGGTGGCGGTGGAGGCGGAGGCGGCCGCGTGGCGCCAGGCCGAAAGGGGCCGCCAGCCGCCGAAGCCGCAGCGGCGCCGCCTTCTTCCGCGTGCCCCTCCCCCCTCACCCGCGCAGCGGCGCCGGCGCCGGCCCGAGAGAAAGCGGCGGCGCGCGGGCGCCCTGTGGTGGCGCGGTGGTGACGATGGCGGCGGGCCGGGCTTTTCACCTGCTGCCGCCGTCGCGTCCGTGGCGGCGGCGGTGGCGGTGGCGTGGCGGTGGCGCCGCCGGAGGCGTGGCGCAATGGCAGTCGCGGCGGCGGTGGCGGTGGCGGTGGCGGTGGTGGCGGTGGCGGCGGCGGCGGCGGCGGTGGCGGCGGTGGCGCGGCGCGGCGGCGGCGGGCGGCGGCGGCCGTCGACGACCGCCACGATGTGCCACTCCGGGAAGAGGTGTTTGGAAACGAGCAATATGCTTATGAGCCAAAGGCAACCGGCAGCCGACCCGGATTGACGAATCCTGAACTCCAACGTTATTACGAATCTGAAAGTTAAAGTTACTGAAGTACACTTGCAATAAACATTTTGAAGAATGGTAAAATGTTTTCGTCGCAATAAATATGTGTAGCAAATTTTTTGTGTTTGAAGTCCCACGGTTAAACTTTTATTGTTTGAATTTTACTCAAAGTATTCGAGTGATTTCACATTTTTAAAGCTTTTGTATTAAATGAGAAAGTTTCATTAAGAATGATTTTTATCTTAATCTAAACAAATAAAAATAATATTATTTCAAAAATATTAAGGGTGATCGTAAGAATTTGCCCCTCCCGCAGCCCTGAATTAGACTTTAGTAAAATGATACTATGAACGGATCGTAAAATGATGCCATGAATGGAATGTAATTCCACTAATAGTACATTATTTCACATATCCAGTTCATTCATTCATCCATCCATTTTCATTTCATTCATTATTCAGTCAGTTATGCCTTCATTCATTCAATAGTATTAATTTAATTCTGTAGGTTCTAATCAACAGTAGTTATTCAGTCTGAAAGTAATCAACTCATCAGTTACTCCATATTTTGGCCCTTATCCCACCGATCCGTCGAGAAGAAAATTTCGCGAAGCCGCCACAAGGTCGGCGCAGGCAGGCGGTGATGGCAGCCCGGCGACTCGCCCCCGCCCCGCCACCACCACCACCTCCCTGAACTCGTCCGCCCTCGCCTCCCTCAACCTCTCCGCCATCGCACCCCCTCCAACGCCTTCCCATCGCCCGACCACCTCCTTCAACGCCTCCGCCATCGTCCCCACCCGCCCCGCCACCACCTCCCTCAACCTCCCGCCATCGCGCCACCCCGTCTTCACCACCGCCTCCGCCCCGCCTCCCCACCTCATCGCCATCGTCCCCCCGCCTTCGCCACCGCCTCCCTCAACGCCTACGCCGTCTCCGTCACCTCCGCCGCTACGACCCTCCTCCTCGCGGCGCTGCCTTCCAAAGTCTCGCCATCCGCCATCGCCTCCCCCACCTCCCTCAACGCCTCCGCCATCGTTCCCCCGCCCCGCCTTCGCCACCGCCTCTTCTCAACGCCTACACCGATTCCGTCTCCGTTACCTCCTCCGCTACGACCCTTCCTCTGCGATCGCGGCGCCGTCGTCCCAAACGCCCGCCTCCGCCATCGCCTCCTCCCACCTCCCTCAACGCCCTCCGCCATCTTTCCCCTCCCCTGCCTTCGCCACCGCCTCTATCAACGCCGACTCCGTCTTCCGTCACCTCCGCCGCTACGACCTCCTCCTTCGCGGCCGCCCGTCCCAAACGCCCGCCTCCGCCATCGCCTCCTCCCCTCCCTCAACGCTCCGCCATCGTTCCCCCACCCCTGCCTTCGCCACCGCCTCTATCAACGCCGACTCCGTTCCCGTCACCTCCGCCGCTACGACCTCCTCCTTCGCGGCGCCGCCGTCCCAAAGTCCCGCCTCCGCCATCGCCTCCTCCCACCTCCCTCAACGCCTCCGCCATCGTTCCCCCACCCCTGCCTTCGCCACCGCCTCTCTCAAACGCCGACTCCGTCTCCGTCACCTCCGCCGCTACGACCTCCTCCTTCGCGGCGCCGCCGTCCCAAAGCCCCGCCCCCGCGTCGCCACGCGAGCTGACAGCGCCCGAAACGGGCCGCCGCCCACCTGTGCGCCCTCGGCGCCAGAGGCGCCCGCCGCGCGAAATGCGATCTCGCCTTCCACGAATCGGAAACGGTATTTTTGGCGGCCCCTCTAGGAGATGCTGAATGATGCGATCGTTCTTCCGTGGCTCAAAAAAGCCCCTGCCACGCACATGTGCTTCTAGAACGTTTAAATAAACTCCTAGGCTGTGAACTGGGATACCAGGATCACCTTCCTTGAATAACTAAATAAGCAATAGAAACAAATTGCATCCGCCCCGCAAGGGTAGCGACGTGAGACAAGTTCTAACCGAACTGAACAAGAATTTTCAAGACTGAAGAACAGAATTTTAGACTCTTGAAAGGCTATTTTCGGTTTTGCGGCCACGCCTAAAATAGTTATAACACTGACACAAATTTTCGCACATTTCTCATTTTTTTAATAATGCCATAATACCTTACACTATTAATTTTCTGCGACTGTACTCTTACTTCAGTCAAAAGTGTAACAAGTGATCTTGAACTTCAGTCGAAAATGGAAACAAAATATACATCGCATTGGTGGCAAAACTTGCTTAAGACAACAAATTCTACAAATACATTTCGTAGAATTATTTAGATGTGGAATAAAAACACTGTCAGTACGGCTTTCAATGGAAATCAACACTGCCCGTAGGAAACACGAAATTGCCATTTATTTATATTGACAATTTTGATTGTAGAGCTTATCTTATCAATAGACACTTCCGTCTCCTGTTCCACAGCCGGATGTTGTATTACGCCAAGTTGTATCTTTATTTTTACTATGGTTTAGTCATTTTAATTGTACAAAGCATCACAATATCTGCACTGAACAGTAAGAATAAGCAGAAATACAAATTATTATATGGAAGGTTACTACGAATGATTGATCATTAAGTTTACCAGGAACCAACAATAAACAAAATAAACTTCAACAAAGAAGCAAATAATATAAATCCACGTTTCGTTAATTGTCCTGAAGATTCTTTTAATTATTTTGTCAGTTAAAACAACTAAAAATTCGTAAACGAGAGAAATTTATCCCCCCACCCCACCCCACCCGCCATGAACTTCAATGGTCACTAATACGGTTTCAAAAGCGTTGATGTTTAAGAAGTTCCGATGTTTTAATTTCGAGCACCGATGTTTAGACGCGTGGTGGGCGCAGATGCAAGTGCAACGAATATCCGCTGGCGATGCGTGGGCGCCAGCGGACGCCCGGTCTGCAGGCGGCTGACGCTCCGTCGCGTCGGAGCATCCGTCGCCCGCCGCTATCACACGCGGCGTCACTATCGCCGCCGCCGCCGCCGCCGCCGCCACGCTGACGGAGGCGCCAGCGGCTCCCCCTCGGGCGTCCCCGGCGCGGCACGGCACGGCCCGGCCCTTGCGCGCTCCGACGCTACCTCTCCCCGTGATACCAATATAGAACGTTCGCTCTTACGTTAACGTGCGTTTATGACGTGCAGCTAAAACGCCCACCCTCCCCTCCTCCTCCTGCTGCTGCTTGTCGCCGACCCAAGTACGTTCAAGGTGAACGAAGGGCCGCTAGAAGAAAGAATAAAAGCTACTGCCTGCCACCTCGAGAGGGATTAAAGAGAACTGTTTTCATTGCCTAGTAGACCAAATTCGAAACAGTGTTAGAGCACAAATTGAGGACTTAAAGTTTGATTCCTTTTCAATTAACCATTGTAGCTGTTGCGTACCTATTATACTTCCACGGATGAAGAGCTTTGCTGAACAATAATGGGAACCTTTAAAACATTGTTTTAACAACTAGTGTTGCTACAACACGCACTCTTTAGCATTGCTTGTAACGACTAATCAATATTATAATACTAATTGAACCTGCAAAAGTGTTTCCAATCAGCAATTTTTTTTTTTTATTTTTTATATTTATTTTTTTATTTTATTTTATTTTAAAACACTGATATTTGAACTCGCCTTCGTAGGTTTACCACACCATTCACGTTAACTCGTAATTTTCAACAATCAATTTTCAAAAATTTAGATATTTTCATTGATTTTCTTCCAAAATCTAGTTTTAAAGAACTAATGTCATTTTCTAAAAAATATCCATCTTTAATATTGTAGTTGTAGAAAGATTACGAAAAACTTGTTAACTTTTGCAACATTCCAAAATACATAACTCTCTCCGCCAAAAAGATTTAATCCAAAATTTTGGGCCATAGTTTTGTAAATGTACAGCATTTCCCAAAATCAAAATATCCGTTTCAGTAACGCAGCGCCTCAAGTTCGGCCAGATACGTAAATTTGGGAGAAAATCGTCTGAACGGTTTAATAATTAGTGTCAATGACATATGAATGGGCAGAATTTTCCCTGACAACTAATTATTCCGCATCGAAGACTCACAAAAAAATATTCCACGAGCTATGTAAAGTCACCGAAACCTTTCAAATTTCCCCATCCAAAATAAGTAAAGTAAGATGCACCATTTCGTACCTTCCCCCCCCCCTCTTTCTGTTGTGCAAACACTAGAACATTTATAGAAAGGCACTCCACTTGAACATCGTACTCAATGCGACAGTCAGGCTCAAATTAGTTTCAAATAATACGAGACCATGACGAAAACTCCTATCTATAACCCGCCCCGTGGACCGGTATGCAATTGACGCCAGAGCAGGACTAATGGATTCGTTTGGGTACCGCCCAACAGAACGTGAAGGAGCCCTGTTAATGTTCGGCGCGCGCGCACACACACCGAGTACTATTTCGGAGTGAGGGGGGTCTTCGACAGACTTGGCTGCGCGCGCCAGCGGACGTCCGGCGCCAGCCTCCTCCTCCTCCTCCTCCTCCTCCTCCTCCTCGTTGAGGACTTAAAGTTTGATTCCTTTTCAATTAACCATTGTAGCTGTTGCGTACCTATTATACTTCCACGGATGAAGAGCTTTGCTGAACAATAATGGGAACCTTTAAAACATTGTTTTAACAACTAGTGTTGCTACAACACGCACTCTTTAGCATTGCTTGTAACGACTAATCAATATTATAATACTAATTGAACCTGCAAAAGTGTTCCAATCAGCAATTTTTTTTTTTTTTTTATATTTATTTTTTTATTTTATTTTATTTTAAAACACTGATATTTGAACTCGCCTTCGTAGGTTTACCACACCATGTTCAGTTAACTCTATTTTCAACAATCAATTTTCAAAAATTTAGATATTTTCATTGATTTTCTTCCAAAATCTAGTTTTAAAGAACTAATGTCATTTTCTTAAAAAATATCCATCTTTAATATTGTAGTTGTAGAAAGATTACGAAAAACTTGTTAACTTTTGCAACATTCCAAATACATAACTCTCTCCGCCAAAAAGATTTAATCCAAAATTTTGCGGCCATAGTTTTGTAAATGTACAGCATTTCCCAAATCAAAAATATCCGTTTCAGTAACGCAGCGCCTCAAGTTCGGCCAGATACGTAAATTTGGGAGAAAATCGTCTGAACGGTTTAATAATTAGTGTCAATGACATATGAATGGGCAGAATTTTCCCTGACAACTAATTATTCCGCATCGAAGACTCACAAAAAAAATTCACGAGCTATGTAAAGTCACCGAAACCTTTTCAAATTTCCCCATCCAAATAAGTAAAGTAAGATGCACCATTTCGTACCTTCCCCCCCTCTTTTCTGTTGTGCAAACACTAGAACATTATAGAAAGGCACTCCACTTGAACATCGTACTCAATGCGACAGTCAGGCTCAAATTAGTTTCAAATAATACGAGACCATGACGAAAACTCCTATCTATAACCCGCCCCGTGGACCGGTATGCAATTGACGCGCAGAGCAGGACTAATGATTCGTTTGGGTACCGCCCAACAGAACGTGAAGGAGCCCTGTTAATGTTCGGCGCGCGCGCACACACACCGAGTACTATTTCGGAGTGAGGGGGGTCTTCGACAGACTTGGCTGCGCGCGCCAGCGGACGTCCGGCGCCAGCCCCCCTCCTCCTCCTCCTCCTCCTCCGCCGCCGCCGCCGCCGCCGCGCCCACCGCGCTTTGCATTCTCACGTGCAGAGCTCCTTCGCCGAAGCGGACTTTTGAAAAATCCGTCACGCTATCTGCTCGGAGCACCTCTCCACGCCCCCGCCCGAAGACACCCTTTGACATTCCACAGCGCCACGGGGAGGGAGTATTTGGCCACAGGGCTTCGAGAAGCTGCCGGCTGAAAGCCTTCGACTTAACGTATCGCGGCCGCCCCTGGCGCCAGCGAGGCTACAGGCGGCGCCGCCTCCGCCTCGCGCCACCGCCACCCCACACGCACGCGCCGCGCCGCATCCTCGCCGCCCTCGGCGCGGCGCGGCGCCGGCAGCGG